ACCTGTGAAAAGATAATATATTAATCGAGTTCAAAAAAAAGAAAAAAAAACCCATTTTATCCTTTATTAAAAAAATCAATAGTGCAATTATTTTTAATTATAATAAAATTTGGCTTTGTTTAATTTTAAGAGAAAAAACAATAAACATCTTGGATTATCACTTTCAAGACGAGGAAGGCTAGTAATGATAAACAAACCGTTGTCCATTCTTCGAAGACTAAAATTACGAGGTATTTTCTTGGAGATGAAATAAGGATTACAGACTAGCTTTGCGATGTTTCCGATTCGCAGTAAGGATAACCTTTCTGATTGTTGCAATACTGATCGCACTACTTCCAAGTAATATATTAGCAACAATAATCTCGGCACAAACTCATGAACGCTTATCCGATTTTAACATCTCCAAATATAGTTCAACTTCGTTAAATTACAAATTAAAATTTTCGAATGAAAGGGAAGAGATGTAGAAGTGATTACTTGCTGCATTCTCAGCTGCCATAAAAACACTTTGCTTTCTTTGTTTCTGATATCCGAACAGTTGTAGGAAGCGTCCTGGATCGAAGTCATTTACATCTTCTGGCATCGGAAGATCCTTTGTCTCAGGTGCTGTCAGTAGAACTATTGCTGCTGCCAGAGAAACTATCGATACTGTCACTTTTGGCGCTTCTGGACTGATAGTTTTCTGCAATTATGGTTTATTATTTCCCAGTGTTAAAGGGAATTATTTCTGTAAGAATAAATTAAACAGGAAATTTAGCAGTGAAAAGCGTGGATCGAAAATGATGTGAAGAATAGCAGGAAAAGTAATCGGAGAATTTTGATCTCGCGAAATCATTGTAGCAATAAATGCGAACGATAGAGAAAAAAAGCTACAATGTAAAAAAACAAGTCCTGACTTGTTTTAAAAAAAAAAACAAGCCATGACACGGAAAACCGATATAATTGTATTGTAAAAATTTGTTCTATTTTATCAAATTCTTTATCAAATTCTAATTCATGCGTAAATTTTTCCAGCTCAAATTCCATATGCCTAAACATCTGCAAACTCATATCTTGAACATGTGATAAATTAATTCACATATAAATTCATCTCTATTCTAAAATCAAGCCTATCTCCAGTGAATTGTATATACACGCCTTTCTAAATCATCATATATAAGCAGTCAAATATACGAAGATGTACTGACAAGTTTCCCAACTATAAAATAAATCTTTAGAAATAATTTGTCTGTGAATCAACAGTTAATCGATCTACAAAACTTTCACAACAAATTCTTGAGTGCACGAGATTAGGTGCGATGTCGACTTCTCTAGTCAAATCGGCTCAACCAACTATCAAAAGAATCCTAAAACTCTTGAAGGATGTTAAGGAACTCGATTTAACATTGAAATTTATCGGAAGAAGACAACAATATGGAATCAAAAAACGGATCGTCAAGGATGAAATTTAAAGTTTTGAAATGTATGTCAGTATACTGGAATCGATCATTCATAAGTAATTGAATGTCTTATACAACAAACGATATCAATAAACAAGAAAGAAGACGAATACGGAAAAAAGTTAATGATAAATAAGGTATTTTAAATTTAATAAACACTAGTAAGGAAGTTATCATCACTTTGAGTTCATATTATAATGATTTCGAATTAGCGTTCCAATATAAAAGTCCGATGAATATCAAAAAGACCATTCATAAACCTACCACAGTTACCATTAACCTTCTTAACAGCAATCCAACCTTTAATGAAGATCCAAAAATGTAGTGAGAATTCTGAGTAATTTTAACACAACTAAACATCTCCGGGAAATTTCAAATATCCAAAAATTCACTTATTTGATTCCATGCCTAAAAGGAGAAGCCTTATGATCAGTAAGAGCCTATGACAATATCCAGAAAATTATGAATTAACCGGACGAGTTTAATCGAGAAGTTCGGTAAACCTATTATTATAAAGAAATCGTTAAGTAATGAACTCCATTATATCAAACAAAGTGACAAAGAAGAGATCAATTGTCCAGACGATGGGAAGAGTCCTCTGATGATTAGAGACAATGTGAGAATTAAAATACTCCAGTATTGAAACGACCACTGAAAATAGATTGCCACCATCTATCAATTAAAACAGTAAGTAGAAGCCAAATTCTAAGGAACAAAACGCGAAACGTGCATCATATAATAATTAATAATAAAGGGCTTTGTGCTATACAAAATATAGCTCGCTCAAAATTAAAAAAGGAACGAATTAAGCAATCATCACCAAATCAATAAGTCGACCAATCATCAGTCATCAAGATACGAAAGTTTTACTGTTATGAGAAGAAATTGAGGTAATTAATCCAAATATGCCAGAAATTCAAGAAGTTATGGTATTATTTGACACAAGTTTACATCCTTCGTATCGAAGAAGTAAGTGGAACCGTGAAAGAAGATTGAAGTTCTCATTCGGCAATCAAGTTCCGAAATTTTATTAGACTACTAAAGTAAAAATCGGAAAAAGAATCTTAGAATCTGAAGCTATAATTATCAATATGTATTAGCGAACGGATAAACTACAAGCCATTAAGTCAACTCTTTACAATGTGCCGCATATGATATATGAACAACAACTAGGTGAAGCTAATGGATATTGGAAGCAGCCTGATTATTGGAACTCGGGAGAGATTTTGTTAAAATCAATTCTATTCAAGTAATCACTGTCACCACAACTCTATTTCTGAGGTTGTGGTGACAGTGGTTATTTTAAAAAGATTTATTTTCCAATTTCAGTTCTGGAAACTACAGGATAACGAGAAGGCTTCGAAACAGTTCAAATAAAGCATGTATTAAAAAGAACAAAAGATATCAAGTTTGCTGATCGTGGAAGACTCAAAGGTCACCGTGCAGGATAACTATGTATCGGGAAATCCGAAATTTTGTGATATAAAATTATTTACATCAACAGAAAATTGTATAACTGATAGGCTAAGGAAATTGCGCTTCTCATTCTGTTAAATTAATTTCTTCTCATACGAACTTCTCTTTGTGTTGTCATAATGTCATTGACAGTTACTGTTTTTATAATGTCTCTGCCTTTTTTATGTATAACAAATGCAGCCAACGAGTAATCGAACAATCCCCTTCATTCGCATCGCCTCTTTCCTTCCCCAACATCACATTATCTAACCGTGGGATTATCGTCTGCATGATCTACTATAAGCTCAATTATATGAATGATCTACTGTTGGGATGTATATATACGCCAATGTTGGGAACGTGTGCCTCTTTCTCGAAGCAGATCTACTCGATAAAGTCCACAGAAAGCGTTTTTCTATTTTTTTTCTTTTCGTTATCCGTGGTATGAATAATAATCGAATACCTATATAATTGATTATTCAATCTGAAATCCAAAAAAAGCACTAAGTATTTTCTTCATCGCTATAACTCAATCACTAATTCAATAACCGATCTTTCACGACAATAATAATTTAGTGTCCAAGAAAAGATAACATGGCTATTAATATTATAGCAAGTATCAAACCGATCTTTCACAACACTATGGTCTTTGCCTTGGACAACTTAAAACATTAATGGAACGAGTCCAAAACAACAAACTACTGCTCAACCGATATAACGAATAAGGAACAAATGCAACCTCAATATTATCGATGAAGTAAAATCAACTGAACCATGTTAATGTTATACATTGTTTACCTCATCAGAAAGTATTAACTCCGAGCATAAACTTGGAGTTAATACTTCGTGAATCAACAACAACATTGCGAACCGTGTATGATGCTTCGGTCCACCTTAAAGGTATGAAAAGTTTTAAATGATTCTTAATTATACAAGCACAATCACAAGAAATAATTGAGAAATAAACAAATAATGTCGGGAAACCCGAGATTTTGTGATATAAAATTATTCACATAAGTAGAGATTTTGTATCACTGACAGTAAGGCTGAAGAAATTTGCTCTTCTTTCTTTCAAATTTCCAAAGCGATTGGATGGATATTCTTTGTGTTTTCCACATTTAGCAATAAATGTGGCTAACGAGCAATCAAACAGCCCACATGACATTGGGATTATCTCTGCATGATCTGCTATCCCAGTACCGAACCTTTGTTGGGCACATATTATTATATTGGATAGATAAACTGGGACACGACACAATCAAGACGTGTGCCTCTTTTTCAGAAAAAGCGACTTGACTAAACCCTTGCAAATCAATCGTTAGTAATCAGAATGTTCGTTAATATCTCTCCAATCTACTTTCGATTAAACCTGTTTAATTGTCTGCTCTCCCGAATCAAGAAAAAATAACTTTCACAATAAATGGAATCTATATTGTAATGAAAGTGATCACTATTGGAAATCCAGAAGCCGTTTGGACAATTCGGGAACATATGAAGGTAATTCACATTTAATCTATTTCCCAAGGCATAATCCTGTAACTGAAATTCTTATACAGCTACAGCGTGAGAAATTATGTCATGCTGGGATCGCTTATACATTATCAAAATGAGAAAAGAATTTTGGGTACCTAAAGGCAGAATCGAAGCTAAGAAATGTTAAATAAATGTAGGAATTGTAAAAAAAGATGGAGTGCAAAACTATTCCAACTGCTGGTAATTCCTAATCTTCCAAAAACTCGAGTTAAAGATTCTCAAATATTTGAACATATTGAGCTGGATTGTTTGGGCCCTCTTTCTATTAAAAATGAAATTTGACCAAGTAAGAAGTGGATAGTCGTGTTACATCTTTCACAAGAGCCGTACATCTAGGAGTGGTAGATGATTTATCAGCCAAGAACTCTAAGAAGGTTCAGTGCACGACGAGGATATCCTAAATTAATTCTGAGTGACAATACTAGCAAATTTCAACTGGTCTTGAAAACCATTGTGAAATACCACATTACCAAATTAAGAAACTTCCTAGCAGTGAAAGGAATAACTTAGAAGGGTACCGCACCAAGAGCTCCATGGAGTGGAGTAGAATATGAAAGATTGATTGGCCTAACAAAAAAAGTCATGAAGATAAGAAATTATGGGAGAAGGAACTGATCACATTAATGGTGGAAATAAAAAGTATATAAACACTCGTCCACTAACATATGTAAATTTTAAAGATTACGTAAATGTAAGTCTAAATGATCTTACTTTATCAAATACCTCCTTAGTAATTCAAATTTTTTGTGATGGTGATCAAGAATTTATCTTTCATAAAACAGATATGTAAGAAAAATTAAATATAGGTCACATACAAATAAGGTTTTAGATACATTTTGGGAAATATGGAAAAGAGAATATCTAACTAGTCTAAAAGAACGAACTCAAAAAAAAAATATTTCCATAAAATTGTAAAAGTATGAGGATGAAATTGTACTGGTCAAGGAATCAGAAATTTCCCCCGGTATGTGGAAATCAGCTAAAATAAAGGAAATTGAATGAGTTGGAAACGCTATAATAGAAATGCTACATGAAAAGTACTCAAAAGACCAGTGAACGTGTTGTAACATGTTTTGAAGTTGACACCGAAAACTGTCATAAAAGTTTTTGTGGTGTAGAGAGAACTAATAATTATATCCGACAATTAAAATCGAAGTGTTTATTAGTTTGCTGTAGGGTAAGCGCAATTTGAGACCGCATTACCTCGTTACCCTTCGGGAAGAAAACACCGATATCATCCCGCTTTTGACCAACATGAACATATACATATATAATGTATAGTAGGCGGTACTGAGACTGCCCCTTAGACATGTAATGGACGGATATCCCTCATTGGGGTGATCAGTACATGATGGATATACAATCCATAGTGTCAAGGTTTGATAATATTATAGCATAAAGCCAAAAAAAGACTAAGCAACGTAAATGGCGGAGCATTCATCTGTATCTGTATCCTTTGTTACGTATGAAAGAAAAAGATCATAAAGAGCGAGAAATGTTGCTAGAGAGCGCTGAATGGCATTTCACCATAAAGCAAAACAATGTTATATAAGGAAATGAAATACGACTACAAATTGAATGTCAATTATATAAATCTCTATTTACGAACGAAAATTTATATCACGAAACTCTGGGTTTCCCGACAAATTCAACAATTCAATCATGAACTCTAAAATACAAGAGTCAAATTTTAACGCTTTGAGAATCAGAAGTGCCGTAAAGAAATGAAATCGCAGTTTAGCAAAACTTAACTAAAGTAATAGTCTGCACGCGAACCCATGCATGATCTGATTCATTCAATTTTTATTGGCCATACCCATCTTGAACAAATTAGTGAAATTGAAAATATTTGATAAAATAATCAATTTGAATTCGACCAATGAAGAAAAATGACAAAAGGAGCAGTTTTATGCCAGCTCTATAATATCTCTCTAACTCCGGCCTTATTTTTATTCTTAATCCCTTTTGCAATCGCGTCTTCATTTTGAAAACTTTGGAGCAAAACTATTTTTTTTCTTTTTTCTTACTTTGCTATGTGTTGTTTTTTAATATACTATTTACAAATAATATTTCTATATAACTAGAGATTACTTTTCTGATAGATAAAACTTACAAGTAAAGGTAAGTAAGGTGCAATAACAGCACCAATGACACCAAAGAATGATACCGTTCCACAGAATATATTGCGTACTGTTGTCGGACTCATTTCAGCAATCATTAATGGTTGTGCGACCCAAAGAAAACTGTTGAAAAATTTAGCTATCACAGCAAGTGTTATTTGTATTATTCCAGTACCTGCAAAATACTTTGCTACCATATATTAAGCAATGTAAATAATTACCTTAAAGTGCATAGGTAGGAGAAGTAATGTATTGCAAAATAATTACCTGGAAAAAATACAGTTAGGAAAAATAATACAAATTGCATTGTGAATGACCATACTGTAACGGTACGTCTTCCAAATTTAAGCAATAACACTACGGCTAACAAACCACCAGGTAATTCAATGAAACCAGATAAGAAATAACCAGTAAAACCATCTTCACTTAATGTTGTACTTAATAATGCCATAGCCCAATAAGTTATATTCATTGAAATTCTAAAATTAAAAATCTGAGCTTTTAAAATTCACCAATAAAAGAAAGAAGTCGATCATTTTCCTTTATTAATTTAATTTTATGATAATTATTGTTTATAAATTTACAATGAAGAAAGAAACGTACATTACATAGCACTGTACGCACAAATGAAAAAGTGCTACACTGTTACGAAGAATATCTATTAAAGTACGCGATTTATGTTGCCTATCAGATTGTTGTCGCACGTTTAATTCACATTTACTCAAATCAATTTTCACATTATTATACCGACATGCATTTTTTATATATCTAAAATAATAAATCATTTGCTTATTAAAACTTTACATTAATATTAAGAAAATTGTTCAATGAATAATTAACTCTAAATTTAAATCTATTCTATTTTAAATTTTAATTTAAAAATTACGAGTAGAAGATTATCATATATTATGTTAGATTCTGTTAGAAA